TACAGGTGAGACGTTAACGAGCAGGTAAGTCATTAACGAGCAGGTGAGAGATTAACGTACAGGTGAGACGTTAACCAGCAAGTGAGACGTTAACATACAGGTGAGACGTTAACGAGCAGGTGAGAAATTAGCGAGCAGGTGATATATTCTTGTCGTTGTAGCTGATCTTCCCTCATTACCTTCCCCTCATTAGCTCGTTAGCTCATTACCTTCCCTCATTAGCGCATTACCTTCCCCTCATTAGCTCGTTACCTTCCCCTCATTAGCTCGTTAGCTCGTTACCTTCCCATCATTAGCTCGTTAGCTTGCTACCTTCCCCTCATTAGCGCGTTACCTTCCGCTCATTAGCTCATTACCTTCCCCTCATTAGCTCGTTAGCTCGTTACCCTCCCCTCATTAGCTCGTTAGCTCGTTACCCTCCCCTCATTAGCTCGTTAGCTCATTGCCCTCCCCTCATTAGCTCGTTAGCTCGTTACCCTCCCCTCATTAGCTCGTTAGCTCGTTACCTCCCCTTCTGCTCAGCAAAGGTAACGAGCTAATGAGCTAACGAGGGGAGGGTAACGAGGGGTGGGAGAGGGAAGGTAACGAGGGAAGATCAGCTACAACGACAAGGAGCTGCTGCAGCTCATCTACCAGCATCTGCTCAGCAAAGGTAACGAGCTAATGAGCTGGTAGATGAGCTGCAGCAGCTCCTTGTCGTTGTAGCTGATCTTTTGGCACGGAGGTGTCGCTCAGCCAGTTCAACAAGCTGGACGTCGTCGCTCAGACGGCATCATTGGCTTCCCCGTCACGCGCTCGATCAGCTGTCGCGCGTGCTCGCAGAAGCGCAGGTGCTGCGGCCGCTTGTCGTGAAGCACCGGCTCCTTCATGAGCGCTGCGGGGAAGAGAGAGAGAGAGAGAGGAGATGACAGATGACATGGGAGATGACATCGTCAGATGACGTCAGATGACCGATGATCGTCAGATGATGGAGAGCGAGAGGAGAGACAAGGTGAGATGTCAGATAACACAGAGAGATAACACGGTCAGATGACACGGTCAGATGACGTGATCAGATGACACGGTCAGATGACACGGTCAGATGACACGATCAGATAACACAGAGAGATGACACGGTCAGATGACACGGTCAGATGACGCGGTCAGATGACGCGGTCAGATGACATGGTCAGATGACACGGTCAGATGACACGGTCAGATGACACGATCAGATGACACGGTCAGATGACACGATCAGATGACACGGTCAGATGACACGGTCAGATGACACGGTCAGATGACACGATCAGATGACACGATCAGATGACACGATCAGATGACAGACGACACATCACATAATTAGTTTAGTTTGCAGGAGCAGTGAGGTTGAACCAGAAATATCATAGGTAGCTGTAACATAATCGGTACTGCACGCACGCGCGCGGAATGAAGGGAGGAGAGCAGACGACACGTCAGCCGACGAGGTTGAATCAGAAATATTATAGGTAGTTATGGCATCATAAATCGAAAACTTTGGAAGTAACTTGTTGATCAAAAGTACACAACCCTACATTTCAATAGTGTGGTTTGGAAAATTTCTGTTATTTAAGTTTACCGAGTAGATTTGCTTGCATACGCACACACACTATGAGCAGCATATACTATGTATAATTATGTACACTATATCAGATGTATCTATATATATGTATATATGTATGTGTGTGTGTGTGTGTGTGTGTGTGTGTGTGTATACATACTGGGTGAATGTATGAGCCTACCTTGCAGTTGGCCACTGCTGAATAGTGGCAGCTTACTAATGATCTGCTTTACAATATCACTCCTCGCCAGTCCCGCCAACGCCTGCACATAACAATCACAGAAGAATGAGAATGAAAATAATGAATTAGAATTAGGATTAGAAGTTAGAACCAGAAGAATCAAACTGCAAATTGCAAAAGAACTAAAATTATAATTAGAATGGCATCCGTCTAAAACAGCACCATCGATTGACAGCCATTGTCGGTTTACACACAAACAGAATCAATGTTGACACTGCATACGAGGGACCCAAAATCAAAACAAAATATAATTGCATAGTTTCATCAGTGCCGACTCGAATTGAAAGCCAGAAATGAAACGATCTTGATAGGACAGGACCCTACGCTCGACATCGCCCTGGGTGACTCGAGGTCGTTCAAGGTCGTTCAAGGTCACTCAAGTTCATACAAGATCATTGAAGGTCACAAGGTCACACAAGATGGTTTAAGGTTACTCAAGTAGACCTGAGGTCAATTGACATCTCAGAAATTAATTCGAAGTGGCTAAAGATCACCCAAGGTCACTCGAGGTCACCAGAGGTCGGCGGAGGTCGCTGCGAGCGCGCATACCTTGATGGCGAGCGCGCGGATTGAGTCGGCGTCCGTGATCGGAGTCTTCACCATCATGAGGCTGATGAGTACCATGATGCCGTTCGTCGCTCGCACCGCCTTCCACATCTTGCTGAGGATGTCTTCGCCGTTACGCACGGCCGCCCGCCGCTTCACCGCTCCGCCCGTGAACCGCCCGATGCTGCCACCTAGCTGCGGCGCCGAGAAACGCACGCACACGACGGTGAGGCGCGGAAACGAACGGTCGCGACGCGCAGACAATAGAACGCCACGATGGAGATCTACCGTGTGCGCGCAAATGTTAGCGATCGCGAAGTTACATCAGGTTATGAGAAATATGAAATTCATCCATCGGGAAGTTATGTCAGGTTATGGCGATAAATACTAACGTTAGCTATCGAGATGCTATGTCAGGCTATGCTTTATTGAGCAGGTATGTCAGGCCACGACAACGGAAATGTACGGTTGCGTGGCAACTGTGCCAACGCATACATTAATATATCGAAAATTATGAATTTTAACCATCAAGAAGCTATGTCAGGCTATGACAAGAAATACAAATGTTAGATATCGAGCAGCTATGTCAGGCTATGACAAGCAATTTTAATGGCATATATCGAGAAGCTATGTCAGGCTATGACGAAAAATTTTAATGGCATATATCGAGAGGCTATGTCAGGCTATGACAAGAAATTCAAATGTTAGACATCGAGCAGCTATGTCAGGCTGCAACGATGGAAAACTTGGGTTGCCTGGCAACCGAAAAGCAGCTTACCCGTGACTGCGGCCCGCACACGCAGACGATGATGACGCCCAGTGCTGCCCTCTGTACGTCAGGGTCGGTAACGAGCAGTGTTGGATCGCCCTCCGCAACGCTGATCAATATGCTGAAACCGACGCAATGATGTCATAATATGTTAATTACGCATTAATCACGTGTTAATTATGCATTAATCACGTGTTAATTATGCATTAATCACGTGTTAATTATGCATTAATCACGTGTTAATTATGCATTAATCACGTGTTAATTACGCATTAATCACGTGTTAATTACGCATTAATCACGTGTTAATTATGCATTAATCACGTGTTAATTACGCATTAATCACGTGTTAATTACGCATTAATCACGTGTTAATTATGCATTAATCACGTGTTAATTACGCATTAATCACGTGTTAATTACGCATTAATCACGTGTTAATTACGCATTAATCACGTGTTAATTATGCATTAATCACGTGTTAATTATGCATTAATCACGTGTTAATCACAGGTACACGACTAGTCGCGCAACAAATTACGACTTCCACCTCCAGTAACAATCACATCGCCGCGATCCTTCCTTGATTTATGGCAAAACAGCAACGATGACGCGTGACAGACTATCAGAATTGACCTACCTGTCATGATTGACAGTCAGCTCTAGATCTAGCCAATCAGTGTTGAGATAGAACGAACTAAAGCCAATGGCGATTCTAAAGACAATGCTTCGCAATATTGTGCCGCGCAGTCGATATTGTAACGTTCACGCTGAGAAGAAGGATATATGGGGGAATATATGTGGGGATATATGTGGGGATATATGTGGGGATATATGTGGGGACATATTGGGCAGGCTTTCAGATTTGAAAAGTACAGGAGACTACTAATGACTCCTAGAACACCATAGGGGGACTTTTCACGCTCCATATCAATCACCCCTTAGAGGCATGATGGAGAGCTCCATTAAAAATCACACTTAAGAGGCATGATGGAGAGCTCCACTAAAAATCACACCCTTAAAAGGTCTGCCATTGTTTTAAGATACGACGAAGCGTGTATGAAAGCTGCATTCTCATTGGCTACTGAAACTAGAGTTGGGCTAGAATAGATACTTCAGTCAGGGCTTGCGATCCATTGCAACATTGACAACTCTATGGATAGGGCAAATAGCCTCAAGGTCACGCGTGACGCGGTGGCTTGTTTGTACACGATCGATCGATCGCGTACTATATATACGGCTGCGTAGACGCGCGGATGAAACACACACACACACACATTGACAGGTCAATAAACACAATGGCCAACGTCTGACAATCTCAACATTTGTGACTAAGCCGTGTCTATATTGTAAGGCAACCTATAGTATCAATGTTATTAAATGAAGGTGACTGTTAGTGTGTTGGACTGGTAAATGAAAATTATGTACATTCTAACCCCCTATAAAATTTTTCTCCTCACGGATTAGACGTTTCACAAAGGACCTGGGACTGTGAAATCGCGGCATTTCCGGGGATCCGCTGGAAGATTTCCCGTAAAATGGAGCTGCTATTTCAAATAATTACAAGATTTTGGTGCGCGTTTCAAACCATTTTTATGAGGCGCGATGGTGCCACGCACATGGGCACATTATGGTGTCCGCGGTGGAGCGCGAGCGCGATCGGCCCTTAAATATGAAAGCTGCATTGGGGATATACAGGTAATAACCCGCGTATAAGGACATAGTTTTAAGAACATGTTAGGTAATTTCCCTTTTAGACCCTTTGACATAAGAACCTGTCTAGCTAAGATTTTAAGGTAGGATTCTATTTTTCCATGCAGATGAAGGACTTAAAAAGAACACAGGTAAATAAAAAAGAGCAGCTCAACATACGTGCAATAACAATGCAATGCCATGCTCACAATAACATGGCCAGCCCCTGCATTGTTATTGAGACACAGTACGTGATTATTCATTTACAGGGGAAAATGCATAAAAGAACACGTCCGATTAAGAACACTCAGGCTGAATGCGGGTCAAGTTGATATACTAAGACACATTCAGCTGAAAATAAAAATGTTCTTATATAAAAACATTAGGGTACATTTAGTACATAAAAAAAAACATGTGCAACACTAAACTCTCCATATAACAACCTTAGACATACACTACTGTACTGTAAACATGCTCACAGTCACTAAGCCGCGCGCTAGCGCGGGTTTCAGCTAGTACATATTAAGAGAACATATAGAACCTATTTAGAACTTTGGCTAATTTTTCAGTAAGCACCTTATATAGACTGTTGAGAGCTAACTTGCGAAAAATCATGTTCTTATACGGCGTTTTTTACTGGTATGTGGCGGGATCATATGGGGGAGGAGATTGGGGATATTATGGGGAGATATATGTGGAATATATGTGGGACATATTGGGGGATATATGGGGGATATAGGGGGAGTATATGTGGTGGGCTATGTGGGGAATATATGTGGAGAATATGTGGGAATATATGTTGGGGACATATTGGGATATATTAGGGGCATATAGGGTGGACTATGTGGGATATTTATAATATGTGGAGACATATGTGGGGATATATGTGGGGACATATGTGAGCATGTGGGTATATGTGGGGACATATTGTGGACATGTGGGGATATATGGGGGAATATATGGGGGATATATGTGGGGACATATGTGGGGATATATGTGGGGATATATGTGGGGACATATGTGGGGACATATGTGGGGATATATGTGGGGATATATGGGGCATTATATGGGGGGATAGTATGGGGATATTATGTGGGGATATAGGCGTGTGTATGTGTTGTATAGGTGTTCACCTCACGCCCGACGGTGGGGGGCCTCCTCGCCCGGTATCGTGAGCGACTCACACAGCTGCAGCTGTACCTTCGGCATGACGGCGCAGATCGACAGAGCTCCGAAGATGCTGACTAGACTCTCAGACCTGAGGTAGCAAAACAGTGGCGAGTGAGACGGAAAAACACGAGGGTGACGGAGGCGGAAACACGCCGGCGACAGGGAGATGAAAAACGCGGGTGACGAGCGAAAACACGCGGCGTGCGAGCGAAAACGCGCGTGGTGAGGAGACGAAAACATGCGTACGTGACAGACAAAAAACGCGCATGGACGAGGAAAAACACGCGGCGTGATGAGGCGAACGCGGGTGCGGAGGCAAAAACACGCGACTGACGAGCCAAAAACATCGGGGTGACGAGACAAACACACTGCGTGACAACGAAACATGCGGCGTGACGAGGCAAAAACACCGGAGTGACTGGATGGAAAATTCGCGGGTGACGAGGCGAAACAGCGGCTTGCAAGATGGAACGCAGTTTGTCACAGCACGCACGGGCACACAGCGGCGCACGTCTGTCCATGACAGGTAATGGGTCTTGTAATTATTGATTGGGAGATTAATTGTAAACCGGCTTGACTGATGTGCGTGACAACGTACGATGAAAGGTACGAGATCGGCACCTCAAGTCGTCACTGGGGTGGACCCATGACCCCTTCACCTACTAACACACCGGGTGACCCTGACCCTGCACACTACTACCACCTGGGTGCCTGCCCCGCACACCTGACTACACACATGGAGTGACCGGCCCCTGCTCACCTGTGGTGACCCCTGCTCACTTATGCCACCGGGTGACCCTGACCCGCTCAATATACACCCTGGGCTGACCCCTGACCCCTGTCCACTGGGTGACCTGTCCAACCTCTGCAAACTGGGTGACCCCTGACCCCCCTGACCTCACTACTACTCTGAGTGACCCCTGACCCCCCTGCGCTCACCTGGGTGACCCTGCTACCTCTGCACACTGGGTGACCTGACCCCTGCCTATACAACTGGGTGACCCCTGACCCTGACCCTGGGTGACCCGCTGACCCGCTCACTGGCCCGAGTATCGCGTCCACTCTGCGTGATGGCGACACGTGTAGCAGTAGCTGTATGCTGCCCCCGAGCAGAGCAGCTGGCATCGACGAGGCTGCCAGCGCAATGCGCAACGGACGTCCTCCAACAAACACTCGGTGAACTGCGCACCTGCTCTGCGGACACCTGCACACCTTAAAATGAAGTACAGTTGTACACCTGCACCACCGATAAACAAATGAACGTTACAGTGTACACTGCCACCACTATAAACACATGAACGTACAGTTTACCCTGTTAGAACACAGAACGTAACTGCCACCTATTGAAACACATTGAACGTACAGTTATACCCTCTTAGGAACACATGAGTACACGCACCACCTATAAATACATGAAGTACATTGTACCTAGAAACACAAAGTACAACTGACCACCTAATAAAAAAAAAAAAAAAATTAATGAACGTACGTTGTACCATCTAGAACACAGTACACTGGCACATCTATAACACATGAACGTACAGTGTTGGACAGCTAGACAACAACGAACTCAACTGCGCACCTAGAACATGACGCCACAAACTGCCACCTTAGAAACACATGAAGTACAGTTATACATCTATAAAACATGAACGTACAGTTGTACCATCCTATAAACACAAGAACGTACAACTGCTGCACCTGCACCACCTATAATGTTGCACCTAGAAACACAAGAACGTACAACTGCTGCACCTGCATCACCTATAATGTTGCACCTAGAAACACAAGAACGTGTAACTGCTGCACCTGCTCCGACGACACATGCACCATCTAGAAACACATGAACGGTAGCCTAGCTCACCTTGTACGGGGGGACGGAGGCGAGCATGGCCACGCCCTGCTGGCGCAGGCTCGAACGCTTCACCTGCTCCACCTTCTTAACGAGATGCGCCTCCAGGTAGCGCCGCAGTGCGTTCGCGACGTGTCTGATCGTCTGCCGTGACGCGAACATCTCGTCGTCGGTCAGCAGCAGACGCTCCTCCGTGTTCAGCACCTGCAGCGTGCTCATCTGCAACAGGGATGCGGTCGCCGCGGTTACGAGGCGGTCGCCGCGGTTACGAGGATGCCGTCATGTAACTAGTACGTCTTTGAGTGACTTGATTGTTGAACTTTCAAATGGGGAAAAATTAACCATTGAAAGGTTTAATTAAACAATTAACATTTAAAAACAATTAATTACTAGTAATTAATCATCAATAATTCAAACTAGTTACACTTTGATTGTTTTAAATGTATTGGGTGGCTTCAGCACAGTATAAGATAACTTGTGTCTAAATTTTCTTTCTCGTGCTTGTGCTCTCTCTCTCTCTCTCTCCTCTTCTCGCCCCCTGCTCTCCTCCTCCCCTATCTCCCTCACCCTCGCACTGACACTCACCACACTGATCAGTTTGCATAGACCGTCCTGTATATCAAACAGTTCCCTCCTCCTCTCTCCTCCTCCCCTCCTTTTCCCCCTCCTCCCTTCCTCTTCCCCCTCCCTCCTCCCTTCCCTCTCCCTCACCTATGCTGGCACACTCACCACGTTGATCAGCTTGCGTAGACCGTCCTGTATGTCAAACAGTTCCCTCCCCCTCCCTCTCCTCCTTCCCTCCTCTCCCCTTCTCCCCTCCTCTTCCCCTTCCCTTCCTCTCCCTCACCCATGCTGGCACACTCACCACGTTGATCAGCTTGCGTAGACCGTCCTGTATGTCAAACAGTTCCCTCCCCCTCCCTCTCCTCCTCCCCTCCTCTCTTCTCCCCTCCTCTTCCCCTTCCCTTCCCCTCCCTCACCCATGCTGGCACACTCACCACGTTGATCAGCTTGCGTAGACCGTCCTGTATGTCAAACAGCTCCAGCACGATGGGAAACGCAAAAGCTGCTCCGAAGAACATCGTAGCGTGACAACGCCCCGACTCGTGCGAACATTCCAGCAGCCACAGTCCGTAGCTGCAAGACACACGACAATAACATTAGCGCGCGAGGATGCAGGGTAACTATGGCAACCTTGTGTAAGGATGCGGGGTAACCGTGGCGACCGCGTAACGACCCGACTCGTGCGAACATTCCAGCAGCCACAGTCCGTAGCTGCAAGACGCGTGAGGGAATGGTGGGTCAGACTAGTAGGCAACGGCGGTCGCGACGATGCAAGGCAACTGTGGCGACCACATGCAACGACGCAGGGTAACCGTGGCAATCGCTCCCAACGATGCGGGGTAACCGTGGCGACAGCACCCTGACTCTACCTCGACGAAAATAACAAACGACGGCTAACGAAAAAAAGAGCGGGCGCACGGCGCCCCTACACACGAACAGCAGTCCCCTACATCACGACCAGCGAGGTCCCCCTAACATCGGCGAAGCAGGCGCCTCTAGCACACAGTCGAGCAGACAGCTCCCCCCTACATCCACGACCGCAGCTCCCCCTCCATGCGATCAGCAGCGCCCTCCTACATCACTGACTGCAGCTCCCCTACATCACGCGACAGCAGCTCGGCCGCCTCCTCAATCGCGATCAGCGGCGGCCTCCTACACCGTGCGACAAGGCAGCTCCCGCTGACATCGCGGAGCAGCAGCGGCCCCATACATGCACGACAGCGAGCTCCCCCTCCAGATCGCGACAGCAGGCCCCTACCTCGCTGACATGCAGCGCCTCCTACATCTATCATTGACGACGCCAGCGGCGAACCCCTACATCGCGACAGCAGCGCCCCCTACACCGCGACAGCGGCGCCTCCTACCTGACAAGGTCCTTGAGGGTGTGTTCGGGCAGCAGGCAGACCTTCTCCATGGCGTCCTCGCAGAAGGCGAGGTAGTAGAGGCAGAGGGAGACGCCCGTGGCGGCGAAGGACGGCCGGTAGACCTGCAGCATCACCTGGACGCCGCCCGCATTGATAAACTCCAGCGAGAACTTCTTGTGGCAGAGCAGCGACGCGAGGTACTGCAAGAACAAATGGTGATGATCAGTGAACGAACACACACTGAACAACCACCCAGGGGACCACCCACTGAACAATTATCCAGAGAACAAGCCACTGAACAATTATCCAGAGAACAACCCACTGAACAATTATCCAGAGAACAACCACCCATTGAACAACTATCCAGGGAACGACGACGCGCAAGATGGAACGAACGGTGATGATCGGTGAACGAACACACACACTGAACAACCACCCAGGAGACCACCCACTGAACAATTATCCAGAGAACAACCCACTGAATAATTATCCAGAGAACAACACACTGAACAATTATCCAGAGAACAACCACCCATTGAACAACTATCCATGGAACGACGACGTGCAAGATGGAAGATGGAACGGAGATGATGATCGGCGTGGAACGAACGTGCTGAACAACCACATATAGAACCAGCGCCCATTGTATGTATAAATTATCTAGAGAAAAACCACCCATCAAACAATTACACAAAGAACAAATCATTGAACAACTATCCAAACAACAACCATCAATCAAACAGTTACACAGGGAACCACGCATCGAACAACTATCCAGAGAACAACCACCCATTTTCCTTCCCAAGCATAATTTCCAAGTGAGATAAAAAGGCAACACCGAGTGTATTGATCACTATACCACCAGGGTGCGCCGCTGTCTGCGGCGGCGCGTCTCACCTTGAGAGCCTCGAAGGCGAGGCGTACGTCGTTGTTCTTGCTCAGGTCGATGTAGTGAAGTACGAGGTCGATGGCGCGATGCTCAAACACAAAGCTCAGCAACTGCAAGAGAAACAACGGAAGCTGAGCAACTGCAAGAGAAACAACGCAGACTGAGCGCCCTGGTCATCATGGCAATGGAGAAAGAGTAATTTGGTCGTCATGGCGACAGAAGCTGCATAATGCAATAGTCGTGGCAATGGAGTTTGATGCACAGAGATGTTAAATGCAGTCGTTGTGACGACGTATGCTGGTATTCACTAATAGATTTTTCTCCTGATGACATTTGTAGCCAAATTAGTGCACCAGAGCAGGCACACATGTGGACATACACATGTGTACACGCATGCACCCACCAGACAAACACAACCAACACGACGCACGCCAACGGACACACGCACGCACGACCATAGCACCACACACACACGCACACACACACACACACACAAGAGCAGACACACACACTACACAGTGCAGACGCACACGCACACGTGACCACACACACACACACACACAGCCCGCGCACGGCCAGCGCAGACGCACGCACGCACTCGCACGCGCACAGCCGGACACGCACGCGAGCCACACGCACATACCACGATACAGACATCAGCACACACACACACAGCACTACACACACACCCTAACACCACACCACACACACACCACACACAAAGACACACACACACACACATACACCGCACGCACCCACGCCGCACACCGCCGTGCACAACGCACACCGCACACCGCACACACACACACACGCACACGCACACGCACATACACACCACACCCACACACACACACACACCCACACACACGCACACGCACACGCACACACACACGCACACCGCACACACACACACACACACACACACACGCACATACACACACACACACACCGCACACGCCACACACACACACACCACGCGACACACACACACACCAACACGCACACACGAGACACGACACGACCTACCTCGCGGTCGCACTCCCCATGGCGCGTAACGGGTAGCGCAGTATGAGCTGCGCTGCTGACAGTGCTTCCAGCGCGCGCCACATGCAGTACTGACGATCACGTACGGCTGCCACTCCGCCCCCAGCTACTGCCTGTCTAGACCCTCGTTCAAGCTTGATGACGTCCCGCCGCCAGCACCTGAAACGGACTCACGCGCGTTAACTATGAACCTACCAGGATGCAGAATATATACTGCCATTACACACCCGTGCGTTAGAAGTGATACGTCACTGTAAATAAATCTAAAATATATCACCACTTTTTCACAAAATCATAAGTAATTCTGTTCACTTTTTATGGTTAACATTGCTGCATATACTTCCTACTCATTGGCTTCAGATTTGAACATCCACTCGTACTCATACATAGCAGGAGCGCACCATTAACTGTCAGCGACATTAATATCAAATCGTCCAGGTCTTCTTGGTATTTTTAAACTAGCAGAATCGCGTCAGAATTTGAGATACCGCTTCAGTCCCGTTAGTTCTCTTACTTTTAATGCTAAAACCAAATGCGCGACAACGAAAATTTTACAAATTTTCACCATAGAAAATTCGTGACGTATCAATTTAAGGAGCGCGCCTGGACCGTCTCTCGTAGGACATAGATCCACTGTCACTACCCACCGTGTGTGACAGGCGGAGGCCCGGACCTCTCTCTATCGGCACATAGATCACTGTTCACCTCCCCCGTCGCTGTTAAGGGGAGGCCTGGACTGTCTCTCTAGACATAGAGCACTGTCACTAGGCCCACCGTGTGTGAAGGGAGCCCGCCTCTAGGACCATGAGTCCACTGTCACTACCACCGTGTGTGAAGGGGAGGAGGCCTGGACTGTCTCTCTAGGACATAGATTCACTGTCACTACCCCCGTGTGTGAAGGGGAGGCCTGGACCGTCTCTCTAGGACATAGATCCACTGCCACTACCCCGTGTGTGTGAAGGGGAGCAAAGAATGAGCAGTTAATTGCATCAGCAAAATGCCTTAATGCGATCAGAGTGAAATAAGACTTCTCTCACACAGACAGCATCGAAATAAGACGTTCTTGTGTTTCACGATATCGCGATCGATCGAGCGACGCACGCCCCTCACCTGTTCCGCCTCGTGCGACGTCAAATCTCCGAGATTGCGCAGCGAATCGGCGCCACCTGGCGGGCTCATCGTGTGCTCGGCTCGGTGGTTCAGCGCATTGCCGGCGCCACCTGGTGATATCGTCGCGTGATCGGCTGGGTGGTTCGTCGGTGCATCCGCGGCGGGGTCGTGGGCGGGGTCGCGGGCGGGGTCGTCCCCGTTCAGCGAGTCGTCACCGCGCCGGTGATAGCCGTCGGCCGTAGCAGCAGCGGTCACCTCCTTGATGTCCGCCGCGGGGACGGTCACTGATGCAGCTGCAATGTTACCATGCCAACGCTGATGTGCGCGTGTAGCTACTGATGACACGCACACGCAAACAACTGCCGCTGCTGCCTCCTCGATTTACACGAATGTACGTACATCCTCATACGACTGATCTACGCTGCTACATATACATCTATACACATCTACACATATGTATGTACATACACGCCACACACGCACGCACGCTCGCACGCACGCACGCACAAACACACGCCACAAAAAAACAAATATAGCATTTATATTTATTCATATAATTCTGTATAAGAAATCAACAGCATGAAACAAACTAACAACCACGAACTGGTCACTACCAACCTTGCGGAGTGGCGCTGGCATTCAGGTGGGAAAATGGCCGCTGGCCGCCGCCATCTTTTCCCGGTGACCTTGACGTCTGCGCCGCATTCTTCTCGTTGCTGTGTTTGAGACCGTGAAGTCTCCGCAGCATGATGGGAACCTGCCGGCGGAAGAACAACGAACTGTTCTTTGTTCCGTGATTGTATCAATCTGATGAATTAATATTGATATAATCTGATGATGATTGATGCTAGGCACACATCGGATCTTGGACACCGGTGGAACTAGCCAGCCGGAAATACATTTTGTCAGAGTTCTGGTCAGTACGGGAACTTTTTCCTTCATTTCAGTTCTGTTACTAGCAACATCTTGCTGGCAGGCAATTATAATTTTAGAATTTTACTTGCTGCCTAATCGTACTCTATTTCCCATGATTGCATAAAATAACCGCAATAAGCTAGAGTTTCTTGCGTAATTACAACTTTCAGCGTTGCCATATTTGCCTGAGTGATGTTATTCACCTGCTAATGCTGTTTTGCACCTCACAAGTTTCTGTGAGAGCATTACGAATTATCTTCTTGTCGGTGCAAAAGGATCAGAGTTTATGAAAAACAACTAGATTTTACGCTCGCTCTCAGTCTCTCTCTCTCTCTCTCTCTCTCTCTCTCTCTCTCTCTCTCTC